TGGGCTCGTCAAGGCAAAAGCTGACGTCATGTCACTTTAACGTAATGACTCGTAATCGCAATGCCGAGGTCGACATACTGTGACCGATAAGCGATACAAAATGTTATTCAATTTTCCCATGGAAAGAGTGCGTGCTTCTATTGATAACTGGCCTCAACGTTTAAAGGACTTTATTGCAGCCAACGGGGACTTGTAACGGGGAAATGTTATTTGCAATAAAAAAATATTTGTTTCAGATATTTATGGCACTTTAACTATATAATGATACTTTTCTTTGACCATATTGGTAGTGCACAGAAATAAAAACATTTAAGTGGATCCATCCGATCCAAAGTAGTTTTGGGGTTCCGATTCATCTATAAGACTGGAAACGTACTCGCGAGCCTTCTGGCAGTGTGAGTGTTCAGGTGGGCGATATCACTTAACAACAGAATGAGCCTTCTGCTCGTCTGCCCCCTGTTCTAATTAAAAATATAAATAAAAATTAAGGTACTTTGTTAAATTTACGTACAATATGACAACAGCGAATCAAATGGGAAAACCTATGCTTAAAGCGTAGAACTAAAGGAAAAGCCTTTTATTTTCATATTACATACTACAAAACTTAAGTTGAATTGTTACTCAAATTCGACTTTACAAATCGAAAAATACACTAAAAAATCGCGCCTCAGTAAGTAGAAATTTCATCAGTTCAATCATATGTGTCTCGAAGTTCTTCTTATGTCGAGAACTCGTTAACTCGATTTTTTTGCATTTCCCTTGACATTCGAGTTATAGAGATTCCCCTAATCAGCTTGAAATTTAGAAAAAATTAAATTCTATAATATCAGAGCAACTTCTAAGTTAAAGAACAATAAATTCTTAAGATAAATGCTAGTCTAAACAAATGGATAAAAATAAGTTCGGGTTAATAAAACTGAGGTCGTGAGGTTGGGCGGAGACAATGGCTCTCAAGGGCGGATTAGCGACCTCACAGGACGAAGGTTGAGTGTAAGGGCGGTTGTTGCACCAGGCCCTAGGTGACATTAGACAGTATAAGTATCGTTGGCTTGACATTATTCGTTTATTTCGACTGTGATCGTCCATTCGATTGGTGGGATGTTTGAACAGACTTCTTTAACGGCGGTTTAATGGTGGTTTTTGTGTATAGTGACATAGTGCTGATGGTTTTTGTGTCCTGAGTGAAAATGGGAATTAACCCAAATTTTTGTGGTAATTTTTTAAGTGTGTGCTTTGTTTTTCTAAAACATCATTTCTTTTCAATTATGCTTCTTATAGCTTATACATTAAATTTAAATTAAAGATTTAAAAAGTCTAACAGAATGTATAGATAAAACTCGTTTAAGAAATTTAGCCCTTAACATAACAAATCTATCTATCTACAGATACATGATTGTGATGCTAATACATTAAAGAATATTTCTTGTGTATATCAGTTAAAAAAGTTAATACCAAAAGCCAACGAAGCATTGCAAAATCAATTTAAATGTAAAAAGTAGATGCAACGGGGAAATTACAGTTTTTGTAATAAATAATATTCAACCATTTCATTTCCGGTATTAGGGTTGAATATATAAAAAATTCTGTTGTTAGTGGTAAATTTATTTTTATGCCTCATACACAGACCATTTTCTCAACAGGCAAGTACATAAGACTGCCTGACATCAGCAATTTGTGAGTTTATTATTAATCATTCAATATGTCTATCAACAGCACACGGTATAACCATTTCATTATTAAATCAAATATACGTTCTGTTTAGAACTGCTTCGGAACTCTTGAAAAACATAAAACGTCACCGCAAGTTTTAGTGTCTTTAATTTAAACATAAATTTATTTATTCGTAACGAATAATTCGTTATGATTATTTTAATTAGTTCCCATACTTCAAAATTTGTTTTAAAACCTAAGTATTAGAAGTGCTTCTCTATCATACAATTTCGAAGTCGCGGGCACATTAAGAGTGTGTGTGTGTGTGTGTGTGTGTGTGGATGCAAGATATGTTAGGGTCGAATTGTTAATGGACTTTAAAAGAAGGCGTAACTTAGAAAGGCAAAGATTTTGTCAATCCCAGACTACAGTTCAAAGTCAGCAATCTGTTCGATGATCAATTAAGCGAACAATCTCCATTGGTGATTCACTGACGTAAATAGATCGCGCAAAGGCAATACCCAACGACCGTGGAGACTCGAGATATTGGTTTGCTCTCTTTGCCTTAAAGAGTCCTTTGTCTGTGACTTTTGAATAAAAGAAAAGTAATATGTTGGTAATAGAATAACAAATAAAATGGTTATGTAGTATGAAATTTAAACTTTACATTTATATTCAATATTGTAGTATAAATAGTAAATACAATAATATTATTTTTATTATTTATGTGTAAAATTCATGTAATTACTTACATTTTTAAGAAGATAAGCTATACTTTCGATGAAATCTCAAAGACGATAAGTTAATTTTGTTAAAACAGACTGTGGTAACTTCCACCTCTGTGGAAATAGCAGGAACCACAAACATTTGCTGAACACCTTGATCAACCCGTACTTGGGGGTGTAGTCAAGATGCCTTAACAGTAGTGTATGTAGAAAGTCGAAAACTTAATTTGTATGGACATGACAGTTCGTGTCGACAAATTTTCATACAAATTTACACCCTCTGCACAGTTAAAATTTTAAATTTGATAACTAAACGTTCTTGTTCTGATAAAATTAGTCTTAGAAATATATATAACAATCCACTAATTATGCTCACCGCTGCTAGAAAACGAAAACAACCTGAAAAATACTGACCTAGAAACTTTTTATATGCTTAATTTTCCTACTTTTAAATGCTTGACAAATGATAAATGTGAAATGTATGTGAATTATTGCAGGTGCTGAGAAATAAATAAATTAATATCACTTAAATTTAAATTTTTTATCAATCTTAAAATTAATTCGAATATTATTATTTTAATATATAATAACATTCTAAACACAAGCGAATTTTTTTAAATTTCGTCTTAAGCTTATATCGTATTACATTTAAATATGTAGAATCAGTAAACAAGATTAAATATATATAAGATTAAATTATTAAAAATAAACGTGACTTGATAATATTAATATGTTTGATGATGTTTAGTAACATTGATAAGAAATATACTACTGTCGTTGTAAATTGTTATTGCAATATTGCTTTAACAAGACTCAAAACCAGAAAGGTAACCTTCACATAATAAGAGTATGGAGTTAATCATACAACATATAGACTATTAAATTATAAACATTGCAAGTTCTCTTATATCTCTGAACTACCAATTAGACATCGGGTATAGCAGAGTTAATTATAATATTATTCAGTTATTAGTTTTAATGATCTATATGTACGTATAATTTATAAAATAAAATAAATAAAAAATAAATCAGTGGCACATAAATAATATAATCAGTAATCTGAGACCAAGACCTAAAAGAGGTTGTATCTTTTAGGTCTTGGCCTCATATTACTTAATCTGTTTCATGATCATTTTTAAATCTAATAGGCAAGTAGGTGATCAGCCTCCAGTGCCTGACACACGCCGTCGACTTTTTGGGTCTAAGACATCTTGGTTTCCTCACGATGTTTTCCTTCACCGTTCGAGCAAATGTTAAATGCGCACATAGAAAGGAAGTCCATTGGTGCACAGCCGGGGATCGAACTTACGACCTCAGGTATGAGAGGCGCACGCTGAAGCCACTAGGCCAACACTGCGCTCAATTTATAAAATATAAGGTTTTAATGCCTACTTGCCTTTATATATCGAAAATATTTAAAGGAACTAAACATCAAACGGCGACGTAGATACTAAAACCCAAACAATGTCTTGATGATGATGAGGACATAATGCAAATATTCTAAACAGATGATGATGCAGTTCTGCAAATGCAGATGTATTTCTTAAAATAGTAACACAACAAAGGCAGTCAATGCATTGATTACTAAATTCCTAAATTTTCCTTTAAATGCTAATAATAAGGCAAACACGTTAACAAGGAAATACACTCGGAAGTGTTGATTTATAAGAGTGAATCACTAGGTTGACAAAATATGAAACTGAGTTCTTTGTTGCGAGTTAAGGTGAAATTGGTGCAAATCCTGATCACCAACTGTGCGCGACTATGGTACCCCATTGAACATTCATTAGATAACTGAATTTCAAACAGCAACGTTATATAAATAAAAAGCAAGTCGTCGGTGTAAAATAGGCATAAAACAAGATAGACCATTTTCTATGTAACTATTTTTGACAAAATTGGGCTATTAAATTATTTCTGTGTCATCCAAGAACGATAACGAATAACGAATACCCCTTAAAACATCTGTAAAACCTTAGAACTATTTATTTTTCGTAATATATTTAAAACCGGGAACCTGTTAATTTATTCCTATTTAAGTGCGTCGCTCTCGCCACATGCTAGAGAGAACATTGTACATATTATTAGAATTTTAATGCGCGTGTGGTTTGAAGGCAGACAACGTGCAAATTATGATAATACTCTAGATCGTAGATAAAGCGAGCTATTGACCATTCATCCTTGGTAAACTTTTAAAACTTGCTCAATTGTTATGGTTGATTTCTCACATTGATATGAAGTAAGGTATATAGAGGAGGGACCAATATAGTCTAGTGTTCCTAAAATATTAGCGGGAATCGAAATCAAACAAGTTATTGTGCCGCTTAACTCAGTATCACCTATAATATTAACTCATCCACAGTGGAGGGCTGTCAGCGACGCGAGTGCGGTGCTGGTGCGGCGGGCGGCGACAGATTCGCGATTGGGCTTCCGCGGGCGGGGTCGGTGACCTACGGGCGGCGCGGCGTGTCGGCGCGGAGGCGGTGCGGGCGCGCCAATGTCAGGGCCGGTGCAGCGGTCAGCTGACGTCTGGCGACGCGCGGGGGACGCTCGCTCGGCTCCGAGGTGCAGTCGAGTCCCGCACTCCGTCGGAGGTGCACGGCCCTCCGACGCGCCGCGCTATATTTAGACACGAGCGTTGACGCCGCGCGCTACTCCGGCGCCGGGGCTGTCCTCACGAGTCAGGTACCTGAAGTAGCGCGCGGCGTCCGCGCATCTCTCCGCATCTCCTGGACACACAGCAGCACCGAGGCCGCCGCACGCCCATTGTACTTCATCAGGTGCTCTGGTGATAATAGTTCCAGGCGCTTGTTGGAGTACACTTACCGTGTTGGCGGTTTTCTTCAGAGCACGTGGCCGGCGCGTGGCAGGTCGAGGTGAGCTCGCGGAGGTGTGGTGAGTCACCTTATCGCCGGTTGATGACCCACACCCCCTCCTAGCCGCACCCTGCTAATTTTTGCCGAGATGTCCAGATCACATTTGCATTGGTCGTCGAACTCCCCATCTAGAACAGACAAAGGCAGCCTAAACTGGTTTTGGCATATTTCGTCGGCGACCGCCGCCCGACGCCGTTTTCCTGTATGATTCTTATGGGCATGTCGTCGTGTGCGCGATGTGATTAATTTTCAGACAGCTTCAAGGCCTCAAAAAGTGAAATGGAAGGTGACAAAATCATTCTAGTTTAGAAAATGTACATATAGCAAATTATTTCTCTTATCTTTCAATGTGTCAAAGACCGATGTGGATGTATTTATTGATTAAATAGTTGTAATATAAACTCAAAGTAAATTGAGCTGCAGAAAAACAATTAAATGCTAAGTCTGCAAGTTTCGAACGACGTCGTCAATAAATACATTTTTAACTTGAATTGAATTGAATGGTGTCGCATATCATATTTTTCTTGCTTGTTTCTGTTTTTATTTATTTTACGTAGGTAAATTATGTTACTATATTATCTTAAAAAAGATAACAAACTGTTAGCAAAGAAACAAAAGTAAAAGCCTCGGGTGACTCACTGGAATGTGTCTAATTGTTGAACTGACAAAAAGAATTCTGTGGGTTAGATTTCAACATAAATTGAAATAACAAGCCGAAACCTACAACAGTATTTGCAAGTATTTTAAACCTAATTCAAAGTTTCAAGATTAACTACTTTTGTCGGTATGTTCAGTGATTTAGCAGCTAGATAACTAATAATAATTTTCGCAATACTGAGTCAATCTGAGTCATTGGGTGAACGGTCTAGACCTTTGTTATTTTGATTTCTACTTGTGGGCTGTCGCCGCCATACCGAGAAGTTTCGATCGCGAATAAAATTTAAGACAAAAAGTAGCTCTCAAGTGAACCAAACAGATAGTAGGTAATTTTTAGAGAAACATTTGAAATAATTTTTGATAGAAAAATATTGATAGATAACCATAATTACCGCAAAAGTATGTTCTGTGTCGTCACGACTACATAAAAAAACCGCAATAATAATGTCAGCCTAAGATTTTATTAGCAACCCATGAGGGAACTTATTAATTTGACATTTATAAATTCAAAATATTTGAGATGGCCGAAAGTCTACTCATATTCACCTCTTTCGACTTGCCAAACAACTTTTGTTGCTATGCAATAAAACTAATTAATTATCTCATACGAATAATTTAAATTGAGCTTCTTATGAGAAAACATGCCCAAAAAATCTATTAAATGAGAAATATTTAATTGACCATTAACCTCTTTGTTCTCAGTATTTAATTATTTATAATCAACTATCCACTTATTTACTTTGATAAATTATTATACAAAAATGTGCTTGTTTCTTTACTTGTCGATTTTATTTCTATATGGATACTGACCATAAATAATATATATGCGTATAAAAGCTTTTATTGAACATTATGTGAAATTTAGTTAATAATTGAACTAAAATGTTACTAAACATATATATTAGTAGTAAGTAATACAGCAATGTCGCGTTTTATCTATTTTAGGAAATTTAATCTATATTAATTTCTAGTCAAATATTTTAGATAGAGAAAGTTAGTTTTTGATGAAATAGAATGACAGTATAAAGGTTCTATGCATTAAACACGCTCCCGAACTAGGGCTTCTCAAAGGAATCGTGACTATTAAAAATTCTATATATTTTTTAACTTCAAACATTTTATACAGAATATATTTATGTACCATGAGTTGACATTGACAATATAAATTGGACTCGCAGACAATTTAAGTGCCTTCATAACCTTATTAATAATAATAAACATGTGCCATAATTTTCTATTCGGTACTTCGAAAATCACGTGAAATTACTTACACACGTAACTCGTTACGTTAATTATGGTTTTTAATGCTTAGGGAACTATCTTCATATTGTTAGAAGCCAGACAAACCATAGCGACAAAACCGCCCTCAGGCATATAAAATGTCGCCTTATTTGCAAGGGCGTGATTTTAATACAGCTCCATTTTGTGGCAGAATAAGAAAACCAGTAATTTTAATTATTCGCACAGTTATATGTAAATCCCAGAATATTTGTTATTCTTCAAAAGTATGTAATAAATATATTCCTACAATATCACACATGTATAAGAAAGAATTGTATAATTAAATATAAATAATTTTAATGTTATTTCTCATCGATAAACGTGCTCTGTTTACAATTGTCGTAATTATGGTTGAATTCGTCATTCAGCTATTAAAACAAATTGCCGTGACTAATAAAAAAAATAAAACCTTAATTAGAAAAAACATAAATTATCTCTGTGTATTTTTTGAGGTGTATTCAAGATTCTATATATATATATATAAAAAAATATTTTTTGGATGAAACACTAACAATTAACCTACATAGCAAGCTATTGAGTGTAATTTCAACAGTTTCGCAATCAAAATAAGCATAGACAACATAGAGCCTTAACAGCCATAAATTCGGGGATAATTTGACGCCCACCCTGTCTGCGTGTCTGACCTTCTCTCCCACAAGGACTTGAGGAAGGTCGGGTGCTAGACATAGGGCGGTCCCCTCGCGAGGGTGCCGAGGATTATAACCTCGAAATGCCCTTAGGAACGAGTTCGCGAATCGCGCTACGTGTATTTAAATTTAGAATCTGAAGTAACTATTTAAAGATAATAAATATTTAGGATAAAACTATATGGAATAAGTAAAGCAAGGTTATAATAACTAAATATCAATATTGACAAAAACGCCATCAATTATACCAGTTACTAAAACGAATATTGTGACATCAATAATTTTAAATTTACCAATTAAAACAAATTAAATATTCCTAGCATGCAAAATAGTTAATTCAAACAATCCAACAAACTAAATACATAATTTAATAAACGGCATTTTATTTATATTAATTCTAATCTAGTTATGTAAAATTATACATATTGTTTATTGAAAAGTTTTGATGGTTCTTGGTATATTGATACGCAGGAAAGTAACTTGAAAACATTATAATGAATAAAGTATAAAATAACCATCCTTAAAGAGAATTGTACATGGTATGTATAGATTGTCTGGATTCTGATTTCTTTTACAAGGCACGTTTTGTTTCTATTTTAAACCAAAGTATTGGTTTAATCTTTGTTTTTAAAGTAAAACAACTGTAACGGATATCAACTCCATCGAGTGCTTTAAGCTGCTTTACGAAGATTCAACGAGAGATTTAACATTTAGTTAACTACTGGCGTTAATCAAAGAGGTAACATCATAACTGAAACCAGTCATAATATCGCACGTTTATCGCATACTAAGGGTTAGTTTTAGGAACGAAATTTAGAACGAATTATGCTTCCCGTATATCAAAATCATTTTAACGTATGAGAGCCAATAACGTACCTACTTAGCGCTAACTTTTCTAAATATCACCCCTTTTTCTACGGCTATACTACTGTAATTTCATTAGTCCTTGTATATTCATCAAAAGCCAGTCGGCCAGTCATTTACAAACAAGATGTCTTATATGAATACAAATTTTAACACTACGTAAAATATAAAACAAAAGTAAAACCCACGAAGGCCAATAAAACGACATATCTACCTGAAAAGCGGATCAGGTCGTCGGTCCATTCACCCTCGACCTTGCCCGACCGTCTGGACTCCTTATTATTCCACAAAGGAAAATTGCTTAGGAAAATAGGGCGGGAAAATAATTTATTACAAGATGCCCTAAGCGCGAGTGCGTACGCTACTGCAATGCTCAAAACGTATTTAATAATGCTTATCATATGTACATTACTCAGAAATTTATCAAGTTTTCTTATATTTGCGTCTTAGTTGACAATACTGTTGGACTTCTGTTTATAAGCTTTCTACGTAGACCTACTAAAGAAAATATAAAAACTTTATTACATTCCCGTAAACATTAACAATTAAACTTATTCATAATATATTAGTATACTAGTGGACCCCACAGACGTTGTCCTGCATGATATTTAAAGCGATTAGGATATTAAGCAAAGTATGAAAGTACCGACTGCAGTGCCATCTGCCGGGCTGGTTTGTGAATCTAAACCATTCCCAGATCCCCTTGAACACACACAAAAAATTTCATCAAAATCGGTCCAGTCGTTTGAGAGGAGTTCAGTCACATACACACGCACAGAAGAAATATATATATTAAGATAAGTTATAAGATGTAAATTATATATACACATTATACGTATGTCAACATGTATGAATAGACTCTCATAATATCCAATACTATCTCATAATAATTATCAATCTTGTAGCTTTCCTCTTTTGATTTAACTGTGTATTTATCGATTTTTCGTAACACGTTTTGTCTTAATTTGAATATAGGTATGTTTTTGAAGACGTTGTGAACAGTGGTAAGTCAACTTGTATTATCATTTGACTTTTGTTTTTAAATGTTATGTAACTTAGCTTTACCAGCCGAATTGGTATTAATTTTCGGAATACCTACACACTATGTGATTTCTTATATTTTTAAGACAAGACTTGCTGAACCAACCAAAGACTTTTTAACGGAGTTCTGAATTTCATAAAATGTTTATTAAAATCTTTATACTGTCGCCATTAAAGGACTTTAAACGGGAATTCAAGGATCGGGCGCCATAGCTGTTGCTACGCTGTACAAATTGAACCAAAGTTTAAAAAAATGGTTTTTGCTTAATATTTAAACTTTTTGCTCATCCATGATTGGGTTGATATTCATGGCCGTGACAAAATTATACCAGATTTTTTTATCAAATTACACGTTACTATGTAGATACGATCTTGATAGAGAAGCTGAAATAGAAAAAGCTTTTGTTTTCGAAATATTAAAAATCTTTAAAAAATTATTGAAACAAGTTTTTATTAGCACACAATTTATAGCTGTATTCGTATATTAAATATCATATTATCTGTGAGAAAAATGTTCATACCAAAAAAATAAATAAATAAAAATGAAAAAGCCTTTTAATTTCTTTCAATTTCTTTTTAGTTCATTCTATATACATAAGAAAATAAAAATATGAATTTATTGAATGATCTTGAATTCCCTACGTCCCTAAATTTTCCGAAAGTCTTTGGTAAATCAATTGATATACTTGCATCACCAGCGGTTCCGTATTCTATGTAAAAAGCCTGTGTTAATGCTGCAATTGTATAATAAAACAGTACATTTTAAGTTGTATTACAAACAAACATTTATTCCCTTTATGTTATTGTAGATAAATGCTATTTATATTAGCAGGCGTCGGACGAAGCGACCTTGTGTCCGAGACAGCCCAACTATAAAAGACTACAATATAAACCGGCATGCTAACCATACATACTCGAATCGATTTACATTGCTCACTTTGTATGTAATAAATGTTTCAGGCTTGGTGTATGAAGAGTAAAGTATAAAGTGCATTGCGTACAAGCGTTTGTTCGCGCCTCGTGGTGGGGAAGCGCGCGCGACGGTTCGCTCGCCAATTTTGCACAGTGATAAGTTCAACGACTCGACACTGGAAGTGCGAACCGAGTTTGAAGTGGAGTTTATATACACTGACTCGTGTCCCTCATTACCCTTATACACTTTGGTTTTTAAATATTTTGTTATATGGGACAAAACAATTTAATTTGGTCGTTATTTAGAGAAAAAATTTTTTAGAGAATATGTATGTTTTGTTAATACATATAATATTTTTATCCTTGATTTTACTTGAATAAGATATCTCTCAATTAGGCCGTCATGTTCTTTATCCAACCATGTCTCTGTTCCAGGCACCATTAATCATCGTTACACGGCTGCTGCACAAAATGTCGCCTCCATTATTCGCTGCTGATTGTCCACGCCCACAAGAATTGTCGTCTTTCGAATTAAATGAACATTTATTGGTAATATATCGAAGGCTTAGTGGTTATAGTTGCATTACATTAGTATGTCCTGAACAAATTACAATTTCGGATAGGCAAAATAGACTATTGATTAATTTATTATTTAATGACTGCTCTTGTGAATTTATTAGATTTTATATCATCAATCATATAATCAATCAATGTATATAATTATCTGAATTTCAATCCGCGAAATACCAGATTCAACACTAACGTACAGTAGTATCACACAACACTAAATTTCGTTTTATATATTCAATACACACGACTCATGAACTTATAAGTATATTTATGTATTTAAGTTTACCACATCATACATATTTTACAAAATCTTCCATCTAAAATGTATGACAATTTAAGTAAACATAAGTATAAAAAAAAATTAAATAGAAATAAATAGTATATAAACATACACAAATATTTTACAAAGAAGTATGCAATAATAAATAAAATTATATACACTAAACTTTAGCTGGCCATTGGAGATGGTGACCTGCTCTTGCCCCAACATCATCAAAATGGGACGCCGGGTCACAGCATACCAAGTAATTATATATGAAACTAAAACAATTAGCTGTAGCCTAAAACTTGTTTGTTCGTTATTCTTTGCTTTAATTATAATTAATTGTTAGAACTCAAACTCTTTATAATATATTAGCTTTATTTATATTTCCAAGTTTCCAACCCGACACTACTCGGTTAATTGTAAACTAGACAAAAAATTTGCGAATAACACAAGTACGTCACTTCTATTGTCAGACTATCATTAGATAGGCAGAAACGATCTAGCCTAGGTCGTTGAACTTGTGGCATTGGGAGATTTCCTAGATATTTTGTACAGAGATTGGCTATTAAATACAAAGGTCTTCATTCCTGAAGGTCGAGGTATATTATTAATATGTTTCACTTGTGGTCTGACCAGCGACACAATCGTTTTATTAAGTATTTGTTTTTTTCTGACAGCTGAACGCATAGAATTTCCATACAGTTTTACTACTATACCAATTAAATTCATACTACCATTTAGTTATAAACCATCAACAACAAACAAAATAT